ATATTTCTTGAACCCTTGTTAAATAACTATATCTTGCAACTATGCTAGACATTTTATATTTGTTGTCCCATTTATTGTAATCTTATGTGATCAGAGTTGGTTTTTTTTTTTTTTTTTAGTAGTGAAACTGAAGCTCAAAAAGTTAGTCTAAGATCTCTGAGCCAGTGAATGTCCAAAGATTCAGACGCTGGTCTGACTTCAAAGGTCATTTTGGATACGAAACTATGGAGAGACAGATTTGGATGCATATTATAAAGAATTTTCTAAAAATTTAATGGATTGTCTCATGAGTAGTATGTTTCCTGTCATTGGAGGTGTGTAAGGAGAAGCTAGATAATCTCTTGGCGGTGGTTCTGTGTCTGGTGTTGGGGACTGAATTACTGAATTTGAGGTTAGTCTTTTTTTTTAATCCTCTAATTATATAAGAGGGCAGAAGAGGGTTGTTCAGTTGCTGTTTAGCATTTCTTGTGCTGTTAAGCATGTGTTGTGCATGAAGATGTTGGGAAAACAAAGCCTAATAAGGATGTTGTGCCTGGCCTTTACTGGTTTATAATTGTTGCTTTACTATGTGAAGAGACGTTATGGGCCCTTCCTAGTCCTCTCAGGTAGAAGCTTCATCTATACTCTCCTGAGCTTCCCTTCTCTTCAATAGAGCATGGTCTTCAATCAGCAGTAGTCAAAATTAGCACTCAAAGTTGGTATTATTAGAGTTGGTCCTTGAGATAGCCTTCACGGGACTGGGAGTTTGGAATGGTTATGACTAGACTGGTCTGTAGCCTGCAAAGGGGAAAATAATGCCTCCATTATAGTTGACAAAGTTTGGCTAAAGAAGGGATAGGGTGATTAAAAGAGACAAAAGGTATATGTAAAGTGCAGCAATGGCTTCATTTGCTGAGTGCTGCTTGGATTACTGTTTTTAGTCTGATAAGTAATCGACAAATAGATCAGGAGGGAATCTAGATAACTAAATATTTGAAATGGAAAGACTGGACTTCTGTATGAGAAAGGTTTTAAAAAAACTGAACTGGAGAAGACATGATCAAATAAATACATGGATAGGGTAAATAATATTTATTTACCAATTTAGAAATTAGATTCATAGTATGATGTTTTAAAGAGGTAATTTTAGGGTAAGTAAAAGAAGTTGTACAGATGATTTCAGATTTCTTATCACCAGTGTATAGCATAGCTAGAGATAAGAAAATACTGATTTGAGAAAAGTTTTAGGGGGCGCCAGGGTGGGCTCAGTAGGTTAAGCAACTGACTCTTGATTTTGGCTTGGGTCATGATCTCAGGGTTGTGAGATTGAGTCCCACATCCGGCTCTGCTGCGCTGAGTGTGGAACCTACTTAAGATTTTGCCCCTCCTTTCCCTGCTTGCTGCACATATGCTCACACACCTGTGCGCGCGCTCTCTCTCTTTTTTTTTAAAAAAAAACCCAAAACAAAAAACAAAAAAAAGGGGGGCGTGTGAAAATATTGTTTGAAAAGACGTCACTAAAAAAAAAAAAAAGATGTCACTAATATATTGGTTTTATATTTGGAAACAATCCCAGGGTTTTTTTTTTTTTTCCCTTTTTTTTTTTATTTAAACAAAGGATGAAAAAATTTGAAGTTCAAGAAAAGAGATCTAAAGATTGGAGAACTATCAAGGTAGATAAACTCATGAATGGAAGATTCATTAGTGGGGATAAGAGAAATGCAAGAGGGATACGATATATTTTCTGCCTTGAAGTTGAGATAATTGTATCTTCCCCCTAAGTATGTTTAATAGCATTAAAAATAGTATTTAAAAAAATTTTTTTTAATAGCCTTTGCCAAATCTTTTTTTAAAGATTTTATTTATTCATGAGAGAGAGAGAGAGAGAGAGGCAGAGACATAGGCAGAGAGAGAAGCAGGCGCCATGCAGGGAGCCTGATTGGGGACTCCATCTTGAGACTCCAGGATCATACCCTGGGCTGAAGGTAGATGCTCAACCACTGAGTCACCCAGGCGTCCCTATTTAATTGCTTCCAGCTTCAGAAGAATGACTTAAGTCTTGAACTGTTCCATTTAGAAAACAAATTAATAATATATATTAACAGCAGTTATTTTTGAGAGATTTTTAAAAATTGGTCCTATAATCCACTTCTTTGTGAGAAGATCAATTTGAAAATAGTCATATTTTTTACCATTATATTCAAGGTAGTGGTTATCCATGATGGCAAGGGAGGTAGGAGACATATTCAGACGATTGGTAGTGTTTTATTTGTTAAACTGGGTGGTGAATTAATGACTACATTGTTCTTCATACCTTATTGTAGACCTTAAATATTATATAATAAAATAATTTTCCAGTTTTTTATTATGTGAAATAATCCAATTACATATGCCCTTTACCTAGTTCTTAACATTTTGCCATTTGAGATTTTATCTCTGTACATGTATATCCATATTCATATACATTTTTCCCCCAAACTGTGAAAGTAAGTTGCACACATCATGACAATCCATCCCTAAATATATCCCAGCTTTCCTAAGAATAAGGATATTCTTTTCACATCAACATTACCATTATCATAATGGTACCTAAGACAATAAATAGTTCTATTACATAATATAATATCCTATCTGTATTTAAATTTCTCCAATTGTCCTTAAAATATCTTTCATAGCAGTTTTTATCTGTTATAAAATGAAGACTAAGGTATTACCTTTGATTGTTGTCTCTCTTTAGTCTTAATCTAAGATCTTCCACTATTTTTTCGTGCTAACTTTTTGAAGAGCCTTGGCCAGTGTAGTTTTCCTTTGCGCATTTACCTTCGCCAACTGATTTTTAAGGACCGAGATGACTGTCTTATTTCTTGAAGTTTACTGTTGCATTATTTTTAGAGTAAAACTTGTTAACTTAAACTTTAAATATATGTATGATTTAGAGCTTTTTTTCTGAATTGTTGTCCAGTTATATTTAGTAGCTTATTGATGTTAAGGTACATTTGGTTATTGAACTTTACTTAGGCAGAGTCTCATTTAAGGTTGTTAATAGAGTGTTTGGTTGCATAGTGTACAATCAGAATGATTCCTTTCAAACTTAGTGGTGTATAATGAGTATCTACTTGACCATAGAAAAGACTCCGCATAAGCAATTCAAATGAAATTCTAAGTTATTAGTATTTGGAGAGGACTGAATTTATTTGTTGAATTTGACAATAGTGTAAGAGAGTGGGATCCCTGGGTCGCGCAGCGGTTTGGCGCCTGCCTTTGGCCCAGGGCGCGATCCTGGAGACCCAGGATCGAATCCCACATCGGGCTCCCGGTGCATGGAGCCTGCTTCTCCCTCTGCCTATGTCTCTGCCTCTCTCTCTCTCTGTCTCTCTGTGACTATCATAAATAAATTTAAAAAATCTTTTAAAAAAATAGTGTAAGAGAGTAGTCCCATGGTTAATTTATATATTTAAATCAGCTCTTTAAACCATGATGTAACTTTTTTATTGGCAGAGCACTAGACTGTTATATTTTTCTAACAGTCTTTATAGTAAAGAGAAATTGGTGAATCTTTTAAACTAGCCATAAAGAGATTTAGTTTTCTTAACATGATTAAGTTTTAAAGGTAAAACATTTGTGCTTTTAGGTTAGTCTGTAAGAGAAAAAAAGCTTTTTATTTAATAGATTTTTTTTTCTGTGTGTATGGATCATATATGGAAGTCATTTCTGAAGTGATGTAAGAGAGATGCCCAGTGGCTAGTTGTTAATACAGATTTTTGTTGTAATAGAACTTGACTAAGCAGGTGAGAAAGCTATTTTCATTTACAAAGTGTAATTCTTTTTTTAAAAAAATACTTTATGTATTTATTCATGAGAATGCACAGAGAGGAGAGAGAGAGAGGCAGAGACACAGGCAGAGGGAGAAGCAGGCTTCATGCAGGGAGCCTGACGTGGGACTCCATCCAGGGTCTCCAGGATCACACCCTGGGCTGCAGGCGGCGCTAAACCGCTGAGACACCGGGGCTGCCCAAGTAATTCTTATATATAGTCCATTTACTTATATTTAAAACTGTCTGCTGGGTGTACTCCAAGACATACAGTACTCTAGAAGCCCTGGGAGGCTTGCATTTTTAGTGATACTTGTTTGTCAATAGAGAGGTACCTTGTATAAATGTAATTGTACTGCTTAAGTAAGTAACTTCAAATTATAGTGGGACTAGGTAACCAATTAAGAACAAAAGAGGATATAAATAAAGTTTATAATCTTTATATTTTTTTAATTTTTTTTATTCATTTATGATAATCAGAGAGAGAGAGAGAGGCAGAGGCAGAGACATAGGCAGAGGGAGAAGCAGGCTCCATGCACCGGGAGCCCGATGTGGGATTCGATCCTGGGTCTCCAGGATCGCGCCCTGGGCCAAAGGCAGGCGCCAAACCGCTGCGCCACCTAGGGATCCCTATAATCTTTATATTAAAGAAACATTTAAAATTAAAATATTTTGTTCATTTGGACTACTTGAGATTTTGATTTTATGGATGTGAAACTATAAAATTATGAGTATAACATATAATTCCAGTCATAGCATACTCCGTATCTGCTAAAATTTTTTTGGAGATTGAAGTTGAAATAAGTTATTATGTTGTACTTATTAGAGAATCCTACCTTTTAAGAAATCAAAATTTTCGTGCCAAACATTTAATTGATGATTTTATTCTTAGGTCCTTTTGCTAACTTGTGAATGCAGTTTGGTTTGGATTTTTTTTTTAATGTTTGCTTTTTAATGCAGAATTGAATTTACCAAAATGCAATTTAGACTTTTAAAGTTTTTAACTAGGGGTGCATGGGTGGCTCAGTTGGTTAAGCGCCTGCCTTTGGCTCCTGGTGGTCCTGGGGGATCCTGCTCAACAAGGAGCCTGCTACTCCTTCTCCTTTGTCCCCTGCTCTTGTGTGCGTGCATGTAGTGCTCTCTTTCTCTCAAATAAATAAGATCTTTTAAAAATGAAGTTTTTAACTAGAAATTATTTTCTCTTGCTAGGAGGCAGGTGGAAGTCATCATAAAGTTTCTGTTTCACCTGTTGTCCATGTTCGAGGACTCTGTGAATCTGTGGTGGAAGCAGACCTTGTGGAGGCTCTGGAGAAATTTGGGACAATATGGTAAGGTTCATAGGGACTTTGTGCAAATTGAAAACAGTATGGTAAAACAAGCCCTGCTTGCTTGCTACAATCCTTGATGTTTAACCATAATTTATATTAAGTTTGCCTGTGAGTGTATTTCTTTAGAACCCTTTGAGCCTCTTATTTTTAACCTTCTGGGATGATGCATGGATGTATTTTTGTGGATCCATGCTTGCCTCTCACTCCGCAGCCAGGTGTTGTATGTAAAATAATAGATTATGGCATCTTTCATCTGATTTTCAAATGAGTCCGTGATTCCTTGTTAAACACTGCTTTAATGTTTAAACGAGTTGATTACACTCTTCATCTTTAGAGTTTTAAGTAGTGGTACTTAAAAACTGATTTTTTGTTGTTATTTATTTTGGAATTTTTAAGAATTAATTGGCAAGTAAAAGTGGGTAGATTAAGGGTAGGCATTATTTGCTTAGGTATGTTGCTATGGGTTCTTAAGCAGATCATGAGCTGTCAGTGCTTTATCCTAGTTTGTTTTATTTTTGTGTTTTGTATTCACTCAGGGTCCTCTTTTCTCTTTCCACAGCTGGTGTGTGCTTAAGAATATTGACTTAAGTGAAAACATAATCAGAAAAGTGAAATCTGTTGCCAAAAATAGACACTCAAAAATTCTTTCTAAATTATTTTTGGAGTATGCCGGGCTGTTGTTCTCTTCTTAGTATGGATAGTCTAGAGTTGATTTTATTATTTTTTCCTTGGTGAATATGTTTGGGGTTTTGGTTATAGGCCTTAGAAACACAGACTAACTCAAAATACAGAAACAGCAGAGAAGTTTCAGTATATTTACAGAGATAAATTGGTTGCTTGATTGCTTCCATCTTATAAAACTTGATGTGGAGTTCTGAGTACTGAATGGATGTATAAATAAATGGTGAGAGATTGATCAGACATGTCCAACGGAAAGGAATCATTGCTTCAAAGGAGTAAGAGTAGTGTTAGGTGACACCTTCTATCATGGCATCTTTTTTATTAATTTTTTTGATGACCATGTTATAAAGAGGTGGATGACTTGGCAAACCTGTTATCCTCAACTTATGTACCTCAGAAACTACAGTTATGTATTGTTTATTCTTGGAGGTACAAATTGGCAATCCACAGGGGCAGAAGAAAGCCCATTTCTTAAAGTGTCATTAAGATAACTATCACTTCTTAAGTCATTTTAAGTGGATATTGGAAATAAGTTTGTCTGTAGCTTTATATATTGAAGCAACCCCCTTAGACCTTACATAGACTTGCATGTTTGCTCTAGACTAACCCTATGGATTACATTGTCCCGTGGAGTTAGAAAGAGATGGTTATTTCTGGGCTTATTTTTTCTTCTATTCTTTTATATTGGGCTTTTAAAGTTATTTCCTTAAAGTGAAGAAATACTGAAGCAATGTCAGAAAACAAGCTGATGAGCAAATACTGGTGGAAACTTTAGAGAAATAATAACTGTATTGATATTTTGATGTTAATTATGACCATGACCTGAATGTTGGGCCTTAAAGAAATAAGATTATTTGTTGAAGTTGGTGAGTTATTTGAATCCCTTTTGAGTGGCCTCTCTATTTTTAGCCTGTATACTTTTTGATACTTAGTCCATGATAAAGTGTTTTATATGTGAATGTAATTCAGTTAATTTGCATTCTGCCTTCAGGATTGGTAGTTTTGTGGGTAAAAAGTTGCAAAATAATTGGAAAAATTAGTGTATAATTAAAAGCTTAATTGGGATAAATATGTGTGATAGGAGTTTTATTTATATGCAATGATCTTGAATAAGAGATGGCAGCTGTTAAAGCTGAAAGAACCTTGAATAGCCTCCAGTGAGGAGTAGGTATTTTGCTTCAAATGTTGCATTTATAGGATCTTTCTCTATTTCTTTAGTGGTGTGTGTAGGATTATAAGATTATATAGAAGCTGCACATATTAAAAGGATGTGTCACTAAGTTCAACACATAGTAAGTTTACGCCTAAAAACTAGATGTGTAGGAAAGAAGTTTAGGAGAAACTATAAGATGTTGAGAATGGTTGTGTCAGTATAATAAAATTCTATTTTTGTCTTTATTCTTTAGTGTATTCATGTGTTAGGATCAAAATAATATTTAAAAATCTATACTGAGGGGCAGCCTGGGTGGCTCAGCGGTTTGGCACCGCCTGCAGCCTGGGGTATGATCCTGGAGACCCAAGATTGAGTCCCGCGTCGGGCTCCCTGTGTGAAGCCTGCTTCTCTCTCTGCCTGTGTCTCTGCCTCTCTCTCTCTCTCTGTGGGTCTCTCATGGATAAATAAATAAAATCTTAAAAAAAAAAAATCTATACTGAGTCTCTCTTTCTCCCTTTCCCCCTTCCATTAAAGGAGAGGATGCTATGTATAATTAGCTATGTTGGTTTAAAATTTTAAAACAAAACTTTTGGGACCTAATTTGTATTATAAATCTTTTGCTTCCTTCTGTTTTTATTTAAAAATTAGTAAATGTGTTTTGAGTTATAAGTTGAAAGCACTGACCCTACCATGTCCTTAGGACTTTTACTTTTTTATTTTCTTTGTTCTTCCAATCTTCCTCATATTAATGCTTTTAAAGGTTTCTTACAAATTACATGCCCAATACTTTAGGTGCATTCTAAAAATATCTGCAATATTCTAATTTCTTCTTCTTTATCTCCACATGATGCCACTTCTTAACTTTTTTTTAAGATTTATTTATTCATGAGAGACCTAGAGAGGCAGAGACACAGGCAGAGGGAGAAGTAGGCTCCCCGCAGATAGCCCAGTGGTGGGACTTGGGACTCAGGACTCATTCCGGATCCTGGGATCGGGCCCTGAGCCAAAGGCAGATGCTCAACCACTGAGCCACCCAGGCATCCTGCCACTTCTTAACTTTTAAATCTCTAGCTCACTTAGTTTAGTTACAGAGGGCAGTTTTACTATGACCATGTCTAAAATAGGCCAATAAAGAATTTATTTTTGAACTTTTATAATTTCCTGTGCTAAAGAATAAAAAGGCATTATTATTTTTTTTTAAGATTTTATTTATTCATGAGAGACACAGAGAGAGAATCAGGACATAGGCAGAGGGAGAAGCAGGCTCTCCACAGGGAGCCCAATATGGGACTTAGTCCCAGGAACCCAGGATCATGACCTGAGCCAAAGGCAGACGCTCAACTACTGAGCCACCCAGGCGTCCATAGAAGGGCATTATTAACATATTTACTTGGTAATACTATTTATTCAACCAACTTTTTTTGTTTTTTTGTGAGAGGAGAATGTTTATTCTTTAATTTCTTTTTATTTTTTTTGATTTTTTTTTTTTTTATTCTTTAATTTCTTTAGCGTAGTCCTGATTCCAGGGTTTTCTGTTTTTTGTATGTAAGACTTGAGAACTTCAGCCAGAAGTTTCTAAAAGGAATGTTTCCCTCCTGGGATTTATATTTTGCATTCATGATTGGTAAATCTTTTTTTTTTTAAATTTTTTTTTTAATTTTTTATTTATGATAGTCACAGAGAGAGAGAGAGAGGCAGAGACACAGGCAGAGGGAGAAGCAGGCTCCATGCACCGGGAGCCTGACGTGGGATTCGATCCCGGGTCTCCAGGATCGCGCCCTGGGCCAAAGGCAGGCGCCAAAACGCTGCGCCACCCAGGGATCCCCATGATTGGTAAATCTTTAATTCAAAGTCTATTATTTTGGGCAGCCCCGGTGGCGCAGTGGTTTAGCGCCGCCTTCAGCCTAGGGCGTGATCCTGGAGACCCTGGATCGAGTCCCACGTCAGGCTCTCTGCATGGAGCCTGCTTCTCCCTCTGCCTGTGTCTCTGCCTCTCTCTCTCTCTCTCTCTGTCTCTATGAATAAATAAATAATCTTAAAAAAAGTCTATTATTTCTGTATTGTTTAATTTGAAACAGTGTGGGTGGGGAGAGCTAGCAAGCTTCATAGACCAGCAAATATTGATTGAATGCCTGTTAATGTGTCTGCTCTGTTTCTGAATTCCCAAGGATTTGAAGATGAATGAAGCAAGGCAAGCAGTTTGTATGCAGTAACATAATCTTGACAACAATCCTTCCAAGTTTTATAAATGAGGAAGCTGAAAATCATAAGAAATTACATAATTTGCCAGGCCACAAAATAAACCATTTGCCAGTTTCTAAAGGATAGCAGTAGGTCTGGATGCTTGATTGAGAAGCAGTGCTGTCACTGAGTACCTGACCTGATGTTTTTTTTTCCTGCAGCCTTCTGTTATTATAAAACCATAATTGTATTTTAAATATTTTTAAGGTGTTCGTTCTTGTGAATAGAGGGCATGTAATCCCTCTGGTGTAATCCACGTGCTTTGATTTCTTTGTTCCCTTCTTCCCTTCATTGCTTTATTTTTCATTTGGTGTACTAAAATATGTTCCTTCCCAAGAGTATACAGTGAAATGTAAATAATATCACCCTCTTGCTCATAGGCAACCGCAGTTACCATAATCTAGTGAGTATTTTTTCATGGATTAATTTTTTTTTTTTTTTTTTAAGATTTCATTCATTCATGAGAGACAGAGAGAGAGAGAGGCAGAGACACAGGCAGAGGGAGACGCAGGCTCCATGCAGGGAGCCCGATGTGGGACTCAATCCCAGGACTCCAGGATCGCTCCCTGAGCTTAAGGCAGATGCTCAACCACTGAGCCACCCAGGCATCCTAGATTCTTTAATATTTAAAAATATTTTGGAGATCATTTATTTGTATGAAATTTGGTTGGTTTGGAGTTGCTTCCATGTATCTTTTGGTTCCCTTGTTTTTAGTAAGATAAATGAAAGTATATAGTCATTTCTTAATTATTAGTGTGAGTACTTATTTATTTAGAAAATTCAATAGGGGTAGTTTCTGTTGTTAGGGGTCCCATCTGCTACTCTACAGTTTTATTCCTATTGGTTTCTATATCTCTCTATTTTCCAATACTGCTTTGGCAGCCTGAAGAATAAAATGGGGCAGTGTCATTAATGACTGATAACAGACTTGTGCTTGAGAAGGGCAAAAGATGGACAACCTTTCAGTCATAGGATAAGCTTTCAGATATGAATCATCTGCCTGGTGTACCACAATTTATTTGGATGATTTAATAATTGATGAAAACTGGATATATATAGTAAAGAATACTAATCTATATTATTTCACACATTTTTATTAAAGTCTACTTTTTCTTGATTGAGAATAACAGTAACTGAATTTATTATATTTGGATATTCTTTCCCAATCTGCCTTTCAGCTACGTTATGATGATGCCATTTAAACGGCAGGCTCTAGTGGAGTTTGAAAACATAGATAGTGCCAAAGAATGTGTGACATTTGCTGCGGATGAACCTGTGTACATTGCTGGTCAACAGGCTTTTTTCAACTATTCTACAAGCAAAAGGATCACTCGGCCAGGAAATACTGATGATCCATCAGGAGGCAACAAAGTTCTTCTGCTATCAATTCAGAATCCTCTTTATCCAATTACAGTGGTATGTATTTTAGGATAATAAGCTAAATTAAAAATGATTTTGAAAATTGCTTCTGGAGTGACTTACAGTTTTCTTCACTGCCTTCTAGATATTTAAAAATAGTGTTTTTAAAAGGATTATTAAGATGAATCTTAATTTTGACTAACATGTAACAAACAGATTTTGAGCACTGAAGCTGAAAAGGTCAGACATGCAGTTGTCACAATTAAATAAGCACATTATAAATTTTGTACATTCAGCATCAGTGTTAACTCTGTTTTGGATAGGGAATTAGACTTGTTAGAAATGATCAAGAAACTTCTCTCACTCATGTGCAAGCACAATTGTTAAGGGCAACTACTAAGAAAGGACAGAAGCCCAAAGATGTATATATCATTTTAAGTGGTTTGAGATCACGTGTTAAAAACCTGTCTGAGGGATCCCTGGGTGGCGCAGCAGTTTAGCGCCTGCCTTTGGCCCAGGGCGGGATCCTGGAGACCCGGGATCGAATCCCACATCGGGCTCCCGGTGTGTGGAGCCTGCTTCTCCCTCTGCCTGTGTCTCTGCCTCTCTCTCTCTCTCTCTCTCTCTGTGTGTGTGTGTGACTATCATAAAAAAAAAAAAAAAAAACCGTCTGATTTACGTAAAATTCTGTTATACCCTTTAAAAAAAGTGATATTAGCAGAATTTTTATAAAGGATTCATGTCCTGAATCAGTTAAGTTTTTTACTCCATAATCACATGCTGTTTCATAATAAATCAGTGACAAGGGAACTTTATTTTTGTGATGAATAGAGTATCACAGTAAGGGAAGCTTCAATTGGTATGATTTCTAGTAAGGGTATGTGATATTGGGACATAAAGCATAAGATACTATTTAAATTTTACTAGATATTATTTACCTCTGTAATATTTCTGGACTTATTAATAAGCAGTATCAATATAGTTCTAGTATTTTGTGTTTGAGGATAAAGAACAAATCTGATCTAGTACAAGTACTCTCATTGGTTTATGGTTGTATTCCTAGTACCTAATGGTGCCACCATGTAATTGTAGCTGCTCAAGAAATTTCTTGACAGCTGAAGAGTTGTTGTTAAGTGTGTATTTTAGTTCTTTATTATTTAATTCAGGGATCTTGTTTGTTGATATCTAACATTGTATAAATGATCTTCCCAGAGTCTTGTCTCTATATAGTCATCCCTTAAAAAATGAATACCAAGTTGATCTGTTACTACTTCTTTTTTTTTTTAAGAAGTAGTAACACTTCTTAATAAGTATTTATTACTATAATTTAAGGGATCATAAAACATTTCAGAATCACATTTGGAAAATGAAACATATATTAATTGATTATAGGTTGGTTTTATTGTGTATTGTCGGACGTTATTTTAGGTACCTGTGAAATAGGAATCAAGTATTTATTTAGGAGATAAAATAGGCAACAGTCCTTTTGAAATATTTCATTGTAATTTTTTTAATGTTAGATATACTGTATGGGTGAGGAAATAATTTAGAAGTGTAACAGTTTTTAAAAGTTTAATAGTAATGAATAGAAATGACATCTTGACAGGTTTTTTTTAAGTTGAAAAAGGTATAGTATAACTTTCTTGTTTTTCCAAATATAAAATGTGAAGAAATCTTGTTTTCTTTCCTTCATAGGATGTTTTATATACTGTATGCAACCCTGTTGGAAAAGTACAGCGTATTGTTATATTCAAGAGAAATGGGATACAAGCAATGGTTGAATATCCTTTACTTATAAATTTTTTTTATTGATGTATAAGAATGCTGTGTAATGTGGTCTTGTTTTCCCTTTATAATTTCTAGACAAGTGGTATTCTCCACTCCTCTCCCCCAAACTACTTTAGATTTAAACAATGAAACTGCAGTACTTACAGATAAGAATACCTTGCTACCTAAAAACATTCTAGTGCTGCATCTCCAGAGTGTGCTTTGTCTTTTTAATGGGGAAAAAATGTTTGATAATATGTACATTTGTACCTTTCTAAAATGTGAATCTCTCCTTAAAATAAGTAGTTTGAAAGTACCAAAACTTTATAGAGTTGATAATATAAAACTCTTCTTACCTTTTTTTGTTGAATTTTTTAAATGGTCATAGTTTATGTAAGAATTTTTCATTGTTAAATTTGTTAATTGTTGAGTAAAAGGTGCAAGTTGCAAAATAGTATGTATTGTATAATGCCATGTAAAAAGAAAATAACTACCCACCCCTCTCCCCCACCTATGTGTACATGTGTATGCATAGAAAAACATGAGGGCTTTACAGCAAACCCCCCCCCCCCCCCCAAGCCAAGGCCCAGTTTTATTAACACTCATTCTAGAGCACATGGTTTGGGGCTATTAGACACGTCTCTAGGGAAAGGAGGCTGTAGGCTGGCAGGCAGTGATGGGATATAGAGGAAAGGTACAACAAAGTTGGATGGGTCCCCCCTCTTCAAGTATCCCCCATAGACTCCCACATATCTCTGGGCAGGGGTTGGAGGTATGATCTCATTCAGGATTTGGACTTGGATACAGCAAGTTGGATGAGTCCTGCCAGGTCCAACACGCCTAGGGCCACATCTCCAACAATGGCCATGTCCACTAGTCCATCTTTCTTCCTGGCCTTGTCAGTGAGCCATTCCAGTTCCTGGGCCTGGTTGTTCTGAGGCTCTGTCTGCAGCAGCCCCCGCACATGCTTTAGTGCCTTCTCATATTCTTTGAGCCAGTAGTTCCCCATAGCCAGGTAGAAGACATAAGCCCACTGCTCTTCTTTACTCCCTTTGGGGAGCAGCTACTCTAGCAGTGCAGTGCCTTTGCGGATGTCATCGCTGTACTTGCTTCACATCAGGCACCAGCCATATTCAAACCGTGTGCTCTTGGACACGAAACCTGCTACCTTCCCAGATTTGAAATTTCTTTAACAAACTTCAGCAGGTCATCCACAGATACCAACTTGTTCAGTATGGCCTCCATGGCCACTGCCACTGCAATCCTCACACCTAGGTTGCTACTGTGTCACCAATCTCAATGGTCTACTGGCAGGGAGAGCCACTTTCTTCTACAGCAAACTTTTAATGGTGTTGACTTCCAGCAAGGTGTTTTGCTCTTTTTTTTTTTTTTTTAACCACTTTGGTGATTTTTTTTTTAACTATAGACCAAATAGTTTTTTAAAACCAATAAAATGAAGGTAGTTAAGTGATTATAAAACCCTGCCTTCTAAAAAAAAATTTTTTTAAAAAAAAACCCTGCCTTCTCAGAAATATATAAAATCAATTATTTGTTTTATATAGTTTTGTTTTTTTGTAATGTTTTTCCTCCTTTAAGAGTAAAATATTTCCTGTTTCAAGAGAGCGGACTGTCGTTTGCCAGGGCATGGGACCATGCTCCATTTCCCCTCTTCCTTTCAATTTATAAAGTACTTCTAATGGCATAGGAGGATTAATGTCGAGTTTTTGGTTTATTATGTTTTCTTTGGCACCCTTGATCTTAAAAAGAAATTCTCCTAAAATTCATCTAGAAATTTTATTGGTAAAGCATTTCTAGAAGTGAGAGTTATGCCTGATTATTTTCAGTTCTTTTCTTTAGGCAGTGAATAATGATTAAATATTTAATTTAAACCAAATTTCCTTAATAGATCTTATGTTTGAATCAGTCCTTTGTGCCCAGAAAGCTAAAGCAGCACTCAATGGAGCAGATATATATGCTGGATGTTGCACACTAAAAATTGAATATGCAAGGGTAAATATTTTTTTCAACACTTTGCCAAAGAAATATTTATGCTTTGGATATACAATTTGAGCTTACTTTTTTTTTAATCTTAACAGCCAACTCGTCTAAATGTTATTAGGAATGACAATGACAGTTGGGACTACACTAAACCATATTTGGGAAGACGAGGTAAGTATTTTATACATTTTAGAATGTCTTACATCTGCTGACAAATTTTTACGTGCAGTTAGCTTCCTTTTTCCTGAGGTGAGCTAGTTCATTCAAATGAAAACCTTGTTTGGTGAATGCTTGTGTTGCTAAAGGCCTTGTAATGCTGGAAAATAACCTTGAAATTAGTGCCCCCTACTGGTATGTACTGAGTTATTTATATTTAGTTCAACAAGGAGCCCACACATACAGGCACGCCCGCAGTTCAAGGACTTGCATTTCTCCAAGCAGCTCTCTCTCTTTGGAGGAGAGGAAACTGATTCAGAATATTCCTTACAAACTGCAAACTTGCACACTGCTTCTCTATGGAAAGGACTTTTCCCCCAAGCTGGACGAGGCATTAAGAAGGATAGAGGACTCCAGCAGGCTGACTCTACACTTCATCATGCACAACATCGGCATCAGCAAAAAGCCCTCTGAAAAACTCAGACTTGCAATTCACCTTGACTGCATACTGCATGCACCATCACCCCAAGTTTTTAAAGGAGGACACTTAACAGTACTTCAGACTTGCATGGGATGAACACCATGATAGACTGTGCCCATTTATTCAAGTTGTATATGTATATTGGTCTGATTTCCCTTAAGGCTTCAGTTGTAGAATTTAAGACTTTTCACGAAGTACTAGACTTTATTTACAATGTTGTAAATCTTAATGCCCATTAATGTAACTGTTTGCAGCTTAGATTCAAATTGTTAATTGGCAATAACCAGGACCAATTTATCTATAGGTCTTGAGAACTGCTAATGCTCAACCAATCCACACAGATATTAAAGATAAAAGGATTAGAAAGGTGCACACTTGCTGCACTTAAGTTTACTCTTTTGGGTTTTTTTTTTTTTCCTTAATTGTGGACATCGAACAGATTAACATGATGAAAAGATGCATTATATGTAAAAGACGGTTTCTGTGTGGTTTGATTTTTTTTTTTTTTTGTAAAGTGGCTGTTTATAAGTTGTCACTTTTTGTAACAATTTAAGGTTATCTATTACTCATGTTAACTTGTGTAACTAGAAATTTTGACATTTAAAATATAGGTGAAAGTAACATGTCTGTTCAAGGTACACTATATTTAAATCTGATAAATCTTAAGCATTTCATTTGAGATGCATTTTCACCTATAACTTATAAATGCTAGATTTCATGAGCATAGATTTGACTGATAAAATTGTTCAACTAATTGTGTGGCAATTTTGGAATATACAAATTAAAATGTGGATCTTGTAAAAACAAGGGGGCTGCAGTATTGGCTACACCTCAACTACAATATCAGTTTTTGAACCACATGTTGGAAAAACTTACCAATATGATCATATCTGTAAAAGTCCATAAAGTAGGAAAAATTTTTGTGGCATCCAAAATATCTTGGGCAGTAGGGACGCAATAGTGCATGTACTCTTGCAAAAAGAAAAAAATAAAAGACAATGCAATGATCTTGTGCATGCCCCAATATTTAGAACTTTGGATGATTGGCCCCTTTAATTCTCAATTGTTAGAAAATCATCTTGCCTTATGCACGGGGTTGCAAACAGGTTTGTATTGTGATGCAGCTTTGGCCGGACCCCACATTTTTCCCTACTCACAAATCTGCTTGGCATAAGCTTGGTACTGTTGAATACAGTATTGGAAAAAAAAGCCTTAGTCCTCAAACAACAGAACAAGTGGTTGATGAGAAATCTCTCACTTCTGTCAATTTACAGTCTGTTATTGAATACTTTTTTTTTTTTTAAACTCATTTGAGATAGTGAGTTTTGGTCACATTTCTCTTAATGTCTCTTAAAACATTTGTGGATATGCTTCTTACTTACTAGTGTTTACATCTGTTCTGTTAGGAGGTCTAAAGTTCATGCAGAGCCAGCCTTGGTTAGTTTTTCCTATAAGAGTTATAATCAGAAAATGTTAGAAATATGTGACGTAGATATTTAAAGAGTGAAATATAAAGAAGTAAAGTAGAATTTTAGTTGGTTTTCAAAGGAAAAGAATTCTTGCTTTGTAATTCCTGACAGATACTTGTCTGGCAAGACTGTAGCAGTTTATATTCTTGTTTTTGTAGTGACTTCATCATCCAATCAAGTTGATAACTGAATTGTAACTTTTTCTACCAAAAAGAACTCTGTAATAAATATTACCTCATTTTTAAAAGTCCTTTTCAGCCCAAATTACATTTTAGTGCAAAAAGTTCTTAGCCTGGACTCCAGAAAATTGTTCCAGAAATGTTAAGCAAAACTTGTGTATGTGTGCACTTTTTTGGGGAGAAGGTAATACAGCTTCCATCAGATTTTAGATGTATTCATGGAAAGTTATAAGCCACTATTTATAGACTGATATAATCAGTATTTGACTCTTCTGCACACTTCTGTTTTATGTGACCTTATATTAGGTAGTGAATACTTCAAATGAAGAGAATTACTAATAATGAGAATGTTTGGTTGAAAGATACCTTGGGAGACCATCTACTCTTAACTCCTTCATTTTATGAATGAAGATTGTGAGTTTCTGTGATTTTTTTTTTTTAAAGATTTAATTTATTTATTCATGAGAGACACAGAGAAGAGAGAGGCAGAGACACAGGCAGAGGGAGAAAAAGGCTCCATGCAGGAAGCCCAATGTGGGACTCGATCCCGGGACTCCAGGATCATGCCCTGGGCCGAAAGCAGGCGCTAAACCACTGAGCTACCAAGGCGTCCCGAGTTTCTGTGATTATACAGTGAATTAGTGGTTAAATTGGAATCTTCTGATTCCTAATCTAGTACTCTTTCCTTTATAGCACACTGTTAACTTGTTTCAATAAAACTGAGCCGTGAAGACATAGTGGTTTTGGTTTAAGATTCCTTAGATCAGATAAGGAATTTCATGTAGTGTTTGGTGGCAAACTTAAATAGAGGAATACTAGCAGAAAGGATTAGCTGACTGGGTTAATTCAAGAGGAGTGGGACTTAAATGGTGATGGTGGAATCCATGTAATGGAAAGAAGGAACTATGAATGACGGGAGAAGAAATGACTTTGGGGAAATGGAGGGAGGATCTTAATAACTTGAAGCATATGAAAGGGTTTTTGGAGAAAGACTAAGTCTGTGAGGCCCCAAGTGGGATAGAATTTGGGTAGAGGACCAATTTCTATACAATATAAAAATTAAATATCTTCTAATTTTGGACCAACTGAAAATGTAAGGGAAAGTAATGAGTACCTTTTTATGGGTTTTGGGGAAGCAGAGGGCTAGATGGTTTTTTTGATTGATAGGGATGGTATAAAGAGAATTTATATACTGAATAAAAGTTGAATTAAATGACCTCTTAGGTCCCTTTTAATGCTATGATAACTTGAAATAGGTACTTAAAATGACAACTTCTCTAGGCTGAAGTGAAAATTATTTCTCATCTCCCATAAACCTCATTTGTTTAGGTGACTAAGGATTTATAGAAAGCCTCTTTATGAATTTTCAAAGATTTAGAATGACCAGACTCAAAGATACATTTAAAAAAATTTTTATTTGGTACTATAATATGATCAGCAAACTTTCTAAAAATATTGTACAATAATTTCTAAAATTTACCAACCAACATAGGAAGTGTTGTTTTAGAAACTTACAAGTATTTTTTTTTTTTTGATGTCTCAAATTAAATTTAGGAAAATTGGCATGCCTTTCCTAAAAACTTAGCTAGAATTAAAATTGTTTTTTAGGAGTATTGTAGTACTCTCATCCAATAATGTAGCCCCCTTGGTTAGCTTTATCTTGGCATATTTAAACTTTGGGGAGTGCTCATAGTCCTGCCTGGTGTTAAGGTCTATACACAATGACCAATCCATGATATAATATGGGCCAGTGATGTGCAAATTTCCAGCTCTCAAGTCAGTAGGTGTTTGTAAATATGTGTATATACATACAAAATACTCTGTGTTTACTGATTGTGAAACCATGTAATACAGGTTGTTGTTGGCTTATGCTGAACTTCTTGAAAGAAGCCCACTTTGAAAATGTGTTGCTGTTGAAGCTAATAGTATGATTCAGGTACTGTCTTTCAAAAGTACTGCACTTAAAGCTTGTTTTAAAGACATGTATTGGTAAAAACTTCTGTACAGTGTCAAACTCTAGCATTGTGTATGTTCACTTTCTGAAAAGTATCCATTCTTTCCTTAAATTTGAAAGTGTGATTGTATTTGGCATTTGCCAAAAAGATATTTTCAAGTTAAGTGGAATTTGTTAGATAGAATTACTTCCTTAAACTCTTGGTGTTTGTATTTAAATTGGATATGAATGGATGTTTAAAGTTAACCAGGAATCATATTTCTTTTATGAATTGTAATGGATGTTTTGAATGGGTGTTTCCCATGTGAGTACTCTGTTAAGTACTTGGGTCAAAATTGTTAAAACCATGTTTCTACTTTTGTGTCAGATAGAGGAAAGGGTCGCCAGAGACAAGCCATTTTGGGAGAACACCCTTCTTCGTTTAGACATGATGGCTATGGTAAGTTTGTCAAGGCAGAAGGAAGGTAGTATAGATGAACTATTAGAATTTTTGCATTTCTGATGAAGAATGGCACATTTCTTATCTTTATTTTTCCTGCTCACCTGACTTGGTTTATAGGGGATCAGTCCCTTATAATGTACTCCCAAGGAGTTGTCCAAAATCCTTTGTTTTCTTAGGATATTGATATATAATCCTTGAGATGAATGAGAGCTGTTGGTTGGGGATTGAAAGCTTTATTACCAGTTTGGTTTGGTTTGGTTTGGATTAGTAATAGGCTCTGGTCTGTTAGAGGACCAAAAAGAAATATTACTGCTTAGTAAGTATATTTTCTTCCATTCTAGCGAACAATGAGGAACTTTGAGTAATAAAGGCAGAAAGAGGGGCATTTGTCAAAAAGAAACATGTTTCTGGTTAGAGCCTAATTCTTTAGTTCTGGAGTTGGTATTTTGGCTTTGGCTAAATTTGTTTGTATTTAATTCCTCTTTTAAAACTTCAGTTTTAATGTTTGCTATGTTGATAAGATGAGATCATGAAACCTAAAATAATAGTCTTCCCAAGGAAAAAGTTAGGTATCAGACTATTATCCTTGTAGGGGTAGATGTTGAGAATTGTTATTGATAAGACTTTTAACTGGTTATAAGGTTTGTGTTTTTTAAATGCTTTTTAGTTTTTAGAAGTAGTTATTGACCCCACCTATTCTGTGGTTTAAAGCTGAAGTACAATGCTCTTAGAAGTGACAGAAAATAGAAATTGCTATACTGTACTCTCAGGATTTATTTTTGAAAAGCACCCGGTGTTGGCTCTGAAATGTTTTCAAATTGCATTCCTTAGTGTCTTTTTTTGAACTCTGGAATTTATTAACTTGTGTGTGTGTATGTATGTGTGTGTATGTTCAAGTTATATGGTAGTCTATATGGCAGAAGTGATTGAAACAGTCTCTTTGTTGTCAAAACAGTAAATGTGATATGGAATGAGAATCTTATTACAGCTGTTTTAGTGCGTTCCTTGATCATTTTTCTTAGCTGTTTCTTTAACAGCATAAATATTAAGTTGGTCATTAGGAGCCCTTATTAGGAGCCCACTGTGCTTTACATAATGGAGGATAACAGAGAATTTCTAATCATAAGTTATTTTTTTTTTAAAGATTTTTATTTATTCAGAGAGAGAGAGAGAGGGAGGCAGAGACACAGGCAGAGGGAGAACCAGGCTCCACGCAGGGAGCCCAACGTGGGACTTGATCCCGGGTCTCCAGGATCACACCCCAGGCTGCAGGCGGCGCCAAACCGCTGCACCACCAGGGCTTCCCTAATCATAAGTTTGTAGTGTAGTTGTGGAGTATATGTGTTATGGCAGTCAGGAAAGGGCTAAAAATAGTTTAAATATTTTGCCAAAGGAATCTAGAAAAATCTGTGAAAAAAATAAATGAAGGACAAAGAACCCTGCTGTGGTAGTGTTGACACAGACTGTTTTCTCAGTATGGGTTTTCAGGTTTGCCTTTCTTTTTTATAAACTATATCTCACTGAAAAATTGTATAAATAAAAATGTTATATGTCCTAGAAGAACTTGATATTTTTAAAAAGCCAAAGTGAAATTCTTTGTCAGTTTCATACCTTAATTGATTTTGCGTGTGTGTGTGTGTGTGTGTGTGTGTGTGTGTGTGTATAAAATGTAAACTTAAAGAGAGGTGCAAAATTCTTTGCATTGGCAGATAAATAGGGTCCTACTGAGGAGGAATGGTTGTGGTGGGGTTATATAGGGGTATACATTCTGAGCTATGTCCATTGAAACAGTTAACTCTGATGATAACTTGTTCTGCTTTCCTCGGGAAGTAAGCAGAATAGAGTATTGGAGGAGAGAGGGAGAGAGAGAGAGAGAGATATGATTAAAAAGAGGTGGAGAAGTAAGGTGAGGAAATTGGGGAAAAGCAAAGATGGGAGTAGGTGCTAGTGATATGTTGAGACTTTTTAAAAACTGCAAATCATAGCTGTATCCCTTCACATCTGCAGTTCAGCAAAACAGGTATTTTTTCACTCTGGTGTCGTATGATACCATGGGTGGCTTTTCCTTTCTGATGGTATATGAGAATGAGGGAATAGAAAGGTTTAAGTGTTTAATTATATTAAATTTATACATCAGTTTATTATAGTATTAAAGATGTGTGCTTTCAGAATTCTTTAAATCTTTTACTTTGAGAAGCCCTGTCCTAGGAGGTGAACTAGTAGACGCCCTCATACTTGAAAAATACTATTTTTGCCACTTTTACACAGATTTATTTTCTGTAAGCCTCAGAAAAAAATTATATATTAATTGCTAGCATCTTTGGATATGGCCCATGAACCAAAGGTTTCAAAGTATAAGGGTGAAAAATGCCTTCAAAATTATAATAATGCCATTTATGTAGCATTTTTCCACATAAAGTTAATTTTTTTAATACCCGAAGTATTATCTTTTGAGCATCAAAACTTTTTTTTTTTTTTTAAAGATTTTACTTATTAGAGACACAGGGAGAGAGAGAAGCAGAGACCATAGGCAGAGGGAGAAGCAGGCTCCATGCAGGGAGCTCGATGCGGGACTTGATCCCGGGTCTCCAGGATCAGGCCCTGGGCTGAAGGCGGCGCTAAACTGCTGAGCCACCCAGGCTGTCCAAGCATCAAAACATTTTGTGTGAACTTTTTGTTTTATGTATAGAAAGCTTTTAAAAGATTTCTACTTTTTCTTCTTAAAATATAGGCAACAATTTAAATAGTGTAGACAACATAATTTAATCCTGAAAGCTGAGGTCATGATTACAAATATCAGTTATATTCTCTTGCACTGAATTCAGTTGTTACCTATGGCAGTGGATCTCAACATTTTTGGACTTTAAATAGAGTGGAAGTTTCCACTGCTCGTCTGCCACACATCTTTCTACTTTCTATGACAAAATGTAGCGATAATAGTGAAGTGTCATTACTGTACAAGCAAATGGTGGTAGTGAAGGGATGATGTGGTATGGATATGTACTTTTGCAGTAGGGATAAGAATGAGTGATATTTGACCTTAGCTTATGTATCAAGTTTAAATTAGAGGCCAAAATATGTATAGTCACTAACAAGTAACTCACCATGAGCTATATTGTTTGTTTTGATAAACTACTAATTATCAGTGAGAAGGGCAGTTGAAAACCATTCCAATTTAAGGCAACACTGATGATGATGCATTGATGAAGTGTTTCTCCCTCCCTGAAATTGTAGGAATTGACACTGTGTGTATGCTCATTGGTAGTATTGCTGTGTTGTTATGAATGGCAGCTATATTTAGAATACTAAATACTAAATTGGAGTCTGCAGAAACTCTAATATGAATACCAAAATGTGGTTTTAGTAACTTACCTGATAGATGACAAGTGTCCCTTAGTCTTACATAAAAATGAGAGCCAGTAGCATTACATACTTTTTATTTCTTGAGAAATGAGGAAAAGACTTGGGCTTTTGGATTGGTATCTTGCACATCAGGAGGAGCTTTGCATGTACAAGAGTATGCTTCTGTAATCACTAACTCAGGAACACCTAACATGTATAGGTTTATAATTCTGAGTTATATCTCCATTTTAGTTACTGCTGCCTTTTTTTTTTTTTTTGAGGTATAGCTGACATACAATGTTATGTTTCAGCTAGACAACATAGCAATTGGACAAGTCTATACATTGTGCAGTGCTCACCATGATAAGTGTAGTACCATATCATGTTATTACAGTGTTATGGGCCATATTCCCTGTGCTGTACTTTTCATCCAGAGACTTATTATTATTATTATTTTGTTTTGTAACTGGGAGTTGGTACTTCTTAATCCCCTTCACCTCTTTCACCCCCTCCCTTCTCCCCTCCGCAACCACCACTTTATCAGTCTTCTTAGTTGCTTCTCAGTTCTTATGACTCTCATCTTGCTATTGTGAATGTGCCCTGTGCCTGCTTTTAGTATCAGTTCTCCAGACTCCCCCATTCCTGTCTGTTCCATTCACTTTAGCTTTATTTTCTTGTTTTACGGATGGGAAAACCAGATATATCAAAGTTGTTTAGAACTACTCTAAAATTAGCAAGTTGATTCTTCATAAGGATTCTCAGTAAGAGTTGTAGATTTGTGTGTGTGTTGTGACAACAGTTTCAGATACTCAGGCATTATTTTCTTCTGGGTTCTTGATGTTTCAGATAATGCAGATGCTGAATAAATGACACCTTTCAGTAGGTGTGATATTAACAAAATTAGAGGTTTTGTTTCCTAGATTAGAATTAGGGGAATAAAATACTAACCAGAAAGCACATTACAGTAAAATCTATTCAAGGGGATAGCCTTTCAGTGGATTAAAGAGATGTTCTTTTTGTTATGTCTGTATATAGATAGTTTCTGAGATTTCACTGTATATATTATCATATTATCTCCAAAAGATATTGACAGAATGGTTTTTAAACAAATTTGAGATCATTATAATTTATACACAGTGGCCCAAAGTTTTACATTGATACCCCTCCATCCCTGCTATCTTTGGCCTGATCTTATATACCCTTTTTTGTTAACAATATTTTTTAAAATATAAACTTAAAAGCCTGACATATATGCAGGTCAATGCATCTTGGATCTGGTACAAAGAAGTACAGATTTTATTAATCTCCACAGGTTATATTTGAAAACACATTTGAGTTTTCCTTGGACATACATCAAACTAGCTAATATTAAGAGTTTACTTTTAGTGTGAAGTGTGTCTGCTAAAGTTGTGTTTTGTTTATCATTTTTATAGGATCCCATGGTCCATTATTGCCTTTACCGAGTCGTTACAGAATGGGCTCTCGAGACACACCTGAACTTGTTGCATATCCATTACCACAGGCTTCTTCCTCTTACATGCATGGAGGAAATCCCTCTGGTTCAGTTGTAATGGTTAGTGGATTGCATCAGCTAAAAATGAATTGTTCAAGAGTGTTCAACCTTTTCTGCTTATATGGAAATATTGAAAAGGTAAGTTTTGTTTTATATTAAGTTCTTTTGCTAGGATACCTAGTAGGGAAGTCTGAAAAGTCAGCAAATATGTGTGTCTTCTTATATTAGGAACATACAAGTTCTTCCAGTAATAACCCACGTAAGCTAAAAATTCATTAGGTACAAGCTTCAGAAATTGGGTTTTGTTGGTAAGTCATCAGTATAGGTTGTTGCTACTAAAAAATACTTTAAAAATAGCTAATATAAATAGAAATCCAAAGCAGTAGTTTAATCAATTACTACCCTGTTTTGATTGTAATAATGCAAAGAGTGTCTAGCATTTAACCTGTTAACTGTAGAATTAGAAAGAGCAGTTACTTTCATGGAGCTTGGCCGTAAATCATGAGTTTAGGAGACTTCTAGATTTAATACTTGCCTCCTAAGTGCTAGGGCTCTAGTATCTTCTGAGGAACAATGTACTTTTAGGTCTATCAGTATCTGAAACAGTGACCCACTTTGAAAGAATGTGTTCAAAACTGTATCTGGAGGCTTGCCTTTTAAGATTTTATGTATTTATTCATGAGAGACAGAGAGAGAGAGAGAGGCAGAGACACAGGAGGAAGAAGCAGGCTCTATGCAGGGAGCCCAATGCGGGACTTGACCCCGGAGCTCCGGGATCACGCCCTGAGCCGAAGGCAGATGCTCAACCACTGAGCCACCCAGGTGTCCCACTAAACTATTTTTTAAAGAATCATGGAAAATTTAACTGGGGAAATGATTGGTTGTTTTAAGTCACCAGTTATTTGATACACTTGCTAATTTGAATTTCAGTACTGAGATAATGTTATTTTTCTTTATTGTTATTTTTCTTTATTCTTTTCACAATAAGAAAGGTACAAGCATGAGTCATAAATGTGTGTGCGTGAGGGAGCCTGGGTTGAAAAGTTGGTACTCTTAGTTCTTCGTTAATTCTAAAGGCTTCTTGATCTGAGAAAGCAACTCAGAAAATCTCTGAAACAAGAATTTCCTCAACATAACCATTTGACCGCATTTAGAAAAGAAAGAAAATCCCACATTTGGTCTAGGGATAACATATGGGATATTTCTGCTTATATAACTTGCCAGGAATACATGGGACAGATTTAGCAACATTGAGAGAAGTAGCTCAGATTTTTTCACACAGACATTTCTCTTAGACACCTAGGTGTTAGTTAAGGTGTAGGAACTGCATGTTTGATAACTAAATGGGCTTCAATGTGTATTTTAACCTTATCACATAATGTTACTTTTCTGTTTGTGCTTTTCACATTTATAGGCAATCAGAATTAGGCAGTTTAATTAACATCTTTAGTATATTTTTGTCTTTTCTGTTATGAACTAATTATCTCATGATTTAGAAATCTACCTAAATCGCTTTGTCTGATAAACTTAAGTTTTCTGTGTGCTATTTGAGCAATTCCGGTCTCACATCTCAAAAATGTTTAAACAGGGGCACCTGAATGGCTCAGTGGTTGTCTGCGTTTGGCTCAGGTCGTGATCCCAGGATCCTGGGTTTGAGTCCTGCATCGGGCTCCCTGCAGGAGCCTGCTTCTCCCTCTGCCTATGTCTCTGGCTTTCTCTGCGTGTCTATCATGAATAAATAAATAAAAGTAAAAAAAATTTTTTTTTAACATTTTAAATGATTATGATATATGAAACTTAAGCTATGGTAATCTTTTAAAAGATTTATATATAGTTAATTATGCCTCACCTTTTTTTTTTTCTTTGAAATTTACAAGGATAAGAGTTACATGTTTAGCATTAGATATTTAGTCATTGCTAGATTTGCAGGTTGATTAAATCAAGGCATAGTTTTGCCCACACGAAGGTAATTGATTTCAAGTTGAAAAGTTCTGCTACAACTGAGTTTTGTTGAAGTATAGGTATAGTATAAAAATGCTAGGATAGCCCATTAAAATTGGTAGTTGCAAGGATGGATATAAATACTATGTTGTATTTGTTGTATAAATGCATTTGTAGTAGTCTTTTACAGTTAACAAATAAGTATGTTCAAGGTATCATAAATGTTAGTGGTACAAAATAGCTATTTAAGGACTTTTTAAGGGGTGGGTAATATGCTGAATGACTATCCTACTTTAACCGATTTAACCCTTATTACTACAGTGTTACGTACTAAAACCAGAATAATATAAGAGGATAGGTATGAGCTTTTGCCCATGATGCAATGGAAACTTGTGAAATGTGCCTGGTTTTTAAACTGCCCCTACCTTGTACAAGCCTTCCTGATGTCAATGCTATCTCAAGGCTGTCTTGCAGTATTTCTTATAGCATCTTGTTAATTGCTTTAACAGCATTCTGAATAGTTTTTTATCCTACCTACCAGAATATAAGTTTCAAGAAGACCAGGTCTATTATGTTCACTATTAATCCCCAGTATCTAGCTCAGTGTTTATTAAAACATTTTAGGCACCTAATATTTATTGAATGAAAAAATATTGATGAACCCTATCAGATGTTATCATTGTCTCTGTTTTATAGGGAAGTCTGTAGCTTGGAGAAGAAAATTACCCTAAGTCATGCAATACATAGCAGAGACAGAGTAAGCCTGTGCTCTTCTTCATTGTGCTACACAGTAGAATTACAGTCTTCCTTTTTACCTTTTATCTTTGTTGAGTTTTGGTAAGAGTTAAGAGTGTCTTTTTTATTTATTCATGAGAGACACAGAGAGAGAGAGACAGAGGCACAGACAGAGGGAAAAGCAGGCTCCATGCAGGGAGCCCGACGTGGGACTCAATCCCGGGCCTCCAGGATCAGGCCCTGGGCTGCAAGGCGGCACTAAACCGCTAAGCCACCCGGGCTGCCCTAAGAGTGTCTTAATAGCACAGCAGAATAAAGTCAAGATTCTAGATGATCTTCTGTATTTGACCTCAACCACTTAAATCATACTCTCAGAAATTCTGTTACTGTAGAAGGGAAATAGTCACCTTTTTGGGATTTTGTATTTGCAGGTAAAATTTATGAAGACCATTCCTGGTACAGCACTGGTAGAAATGGGTGATGAGTATGCTGTAGAAAGAGCTGTCACACACCTTAACAATGTCAAATTATTTGGGAAAAGACTTAATGTTTGGTAATTATCTTAAGTGGTAAATTTTAAATGTATTAAAAAATCTTCATCGTTTTTATTAGATATTTCAGTTTTAGGATATTTTAATGTAATTGAGAGCACATTTGAAACTAGCACCTATAATGTTACCATTTTTGACATAGCATGTTAAGGTCATATAATTCAGGTTTTGCACACCTATACTTAGTTTTTAGTGTTATGATTGTAAAACAGCATGTTAAAATGGGCAAGTTTTATGTAAAGTTTCCTAATGTGAGAATATACCTAAACTTAAAAGAGTCGTGGATTATAACTTAAATTTAAATATTCAAATAAGCCTTTAAATATTAAATATTTGGATCATATTTAAATAACTATGTGTATTATTTGTTAAAATTGGTGCAGGCATAGATACTAACATTTTGAGACTGCCTACTTGCTGCTTTTTATCTAACAGGTTTTTTTTACCTTTTTCCTTCCCAATCTTTAGTGTGTCTAAACAACATTCAGTTGTTCCAAGTCAAATATTTGAGCTGGAGGATGGTACAAGTAGCTACAAAGATTTTGCAATGAGCAAAAATAATCGCTTTACAAGTGCTGGTCAGGCATCTAAGAATATAATCCAGCCACCCTCATGTGTGCTGCATTATTATAATGTTCCACTGTGTGTCACAGAGGAGACCTTCACAAAGGTAGGTGTTAAAATACAATTACGTAGAATGTTCCTATTATTTTAAAATTTATAACATTTTTACCTCATTTTAAAGTCTTGCACTATTCATCTTCTGCTTTTGATATTATTGGTGTTCTGTTATTTATTTGGTACTTTATAGCTCACTCTTTGACCATTGTGCTTTTCTGGCCTCCATTCTGCATTATTAGTATTTTTAGTCTTTTGTTGGTTTGTGGCTCAGTTATTTTGAGAGTTGGAATGAAATACCTGACTTCTGCATTCAGAAAATTATTTTACTATGCCCTTAAATCTTGTCCGTAACAAAATTTTATATATCCCTGTCTTTTTGCCAAACTGTAGGAAATGCTTCAGAAAATAATTGATTTTTCTGGAACTCTACTCTCTACCTTAGGTACTAAATAAATCCTGACAACTCTGAGCATACATGTTACATAAAATTTGTAGTTTTATTGTATTAGCACTAAATTACTTACATAGTTTATAAGAAATACCACTTTTTAAAATTGGTTTTCTCATAGAACTTACCAGTCTAAAAACATGTTTGACTTAATTCATTCATGCCGGACTTAAACGGTACCACAAAGTTTACTTTTTTTTTCTTTTTTCTAGAGAGAGAGAACATGCAAGAGCATGCACACGTGCACACGCAGGAAGGGGGGAGGGGCAGAGGGAGAGTAAGAATCCTAAGCAGGCTCTACACCCAGCATAGAGCCTGATGTGGGGCTTCATCTCATGACTCTGAGATCATGAGGTCAGCTGAAATCAAGAGTCAGACACTTAACTGTCTGAACCACCCATGTGCCCCCATAAGGTTTACATTCTAAAAAAAAAGAAAAAAAGGCAGGAATATTATTTTGGCCATATTTTTAATGGGGTTTTACATTTCTTTGACAGTTATGTAATGACCATGAAGTTCTTACATTCATCAAATATAAAGTGTTTGATGCAAAACGTAAGTGCACATTCCCTCTTTTTAAGTTTTCTGGTTAAACTGATGACAAGCAAATAACTGGATTTTTGTTTCTTTGTTTTGTTTTAGCTTCTGCCAAAACACTTTCCGGGCTGTTAGAATGGGAATGCAAAACTGATGCAGTAGAAGCCCTTACAGCACTTAATCACTACCAGATAAGAGTTCCAAGTAAGAAAGATGTGTCATAATTATTCAATAGGAGTTACTTAAGAAACATCAACAATTTTAAAATAACACTTTTTTTTTTAATATAGAGAAGTATGAAGAAAAAAGGCATATAAGTCCTGCAACTCATAACAATCCTTTTATTAGTTACCTGTTGCTGTGTAACATTACCATACCAAGCAGCTTAAAACAGCAAACTGAGGGTCAGTAACATGTACAGTGTAGCTGGGTATTTCTAGCTTAGGGTCTCTTGAAGTTTCAATCAAGCTATTGTCTGGGTCTACAGTCATTTCAAGTCATGATTGGGAAGTGGGTAATCCATTTCCAAGCTCATTTATGTGCTTATTTGCAAGTCCAGTTAAGCTACATTGGCTATTTCATTGTAGCTGGTTTACTTCGAGTGAGTGATCTGCGAGAGATGAGAGAAATGACTGAAACAGAGGCCCCAGTATCTTTTATAACCTAACATTGGAAGTGACATACTATCATTTATGCTGTATCCTTGTGGTCCCACAGATCAACCACAGTACAGTGTGGGGAAGGGACCATACAGAGCTGTGAATACCAGGAGGGTAGAGACCATTGGGGCCGTCTTGGATACTGGCTCCCACAGTCCCTGTTGATCTTTTTAGAAGAAAGCAATACATATATGGTTTAAAAACGACACACAGTGGTACAAAATGAAAGTTAAAAAGCTTTCAGTAGCTTCTAACTTGTTTGTCTCCTTTTATTCCTCCTCCTCAGTGTATGTATATCTACGTTTTTAAAAGTTATACAAAATGGTTTTTCTATACATACTCTTCTATGCCTTGCTGTTTTCACTTAATATGTCTTGGAGCTATTTCTGTATCAGCATATGCAAGGCTACTACTTTTTATTCCCCCAAAGCACAGACAGAGTAGCTATTCATAGTAGAGATACACCACAGTTTATTTGATTTACCCATTTCCCTACTAGTGAATACTGTTATTTTCCAGTTGTTTTTTCTGTTACTATAATAACATCCCTATCATTGCACTTTTTCTATTTTGTAGGGCAATTTCCTAATGGTGGAGAACATAAAGGTTTATATTCTAATAAATGTTACTAGATTGCCCTTTAGAAAGTTGTACAGTTTACATCTCTACCTGTGGTATATGAAAATGCCCATTGCCCAACATTCTTACCAATACTGAGTCTTGTCAAACTTTCAATTTTTAGCCAGTATGATAGATGAAAAATGGAATTCCATTGTTTTAATTTGTATTAAGTGAAATTGTCACTGTTTATTCTCTCCAGAATGGTAAAGGCTTCTTTTTCTATCATACAAAATACACTCAAGTATTTAACTTTTGAAGCTTTGTGCTGTGTACTTTGATCCTGGATTTAAGGAGTGTTAAACCCTTATTTTTCTAATAGTGGAAGAAAAAATTATTAATTTTATTAGGTGTAATGTGGAAAAAAAGGAAAAATACACACTGAAGGATTTATGGGTGGAATAATATATCTAGGATTTACTTTAAAATATTCCAGCTCCCAAAATGTGTGTGGAGAATAGGTAGATGAAATAAGACTGCCAAATGTTGACAGTTATTAAAACTAGGTGATAGATAAATGGGGGTTTATCGTATCAATTTATATATTTTTTATGTTTGAAAATTTTTAATTAAAGAATAAGAGAACCCCCTTTCATTTAACTTTTAGTCAACAAAAATAAATTTTAAGTAGTAAATCAAGCTTAATCTTTGATAGAAGGCTTTTAAAGGTTTTAAAATTATATACATATTTGAGACATACTCAAGATGTATTTTAAACTACTTGGGGCAGCCTGAGTGGCTCAGCAGTTTAGTGCCGCCTTTAGCCCAGGGCATGATCCTGGAGTCCCAGGATCAAGTCTCACGTCAGGCTCCCTGCATGGAGCCTGCTTCTCCCTCTGCCTGTGTTTCTACCTCTCTCTCTCTCTCTCTCTCTCTCTCTCTCTCTCTCTGTTTGTCTCTGTCTCTCATGAATAAATAAAATCTTTTTAAAAAAAATTGAAAACATTTGTTTAAATAAATAAGTAAATAAACTACTTGGAGGCAGGAATAATTATTTATCTTTTTATCCTCTCCAGTGTCATGCAAATACCTGTTAATTTATATGCTTTTTCCTTTATAGGAATTTAAAAAAATTTAATCCATTAAGATACTGGAATTATTTCTTTGCATAATTAATTGAGGAGTTCTTTTTGGTCTGAAAAGAAAGAAAAATGTGTAAAAGGAAAAAATTTTGTGGATTATACTCTGTTTTTTGAGTAATTCTAGAATTTTTATTTTTTAAAAGAATTTTATTTATTTATTTATTCATGAGAGGAGACACACAGAGAGAGAGAAGCAGAGACACAGGCAGAGGGGGAAGCAGGCTCTACACAGGGAGCCCGATGCGGGACTCGATCCTGGGACTCCAGGATCATGCCCTGGGCTAAAGGCAGGCACCAAACCACTTAGCCACCCAGGGAACCCTTAATTCTAGAATTTAATACTAGATCCTGGAACTTTTTCAGCTTATTAATATCTTCCCTTATATTCCATTCTTATCCCATTTCCCAGCCTCTATTTGAATTGGCTTTTTAAAAAGTTTTAAATTCAATTAGCCAACATACAGGAAGGACGTCAGTAGTTTCAGATGTAGAATTTAGTAATTTATGAGTTGCATACAACACCCAGTGTTCATCACATCACATGCCCTCTTTAATGCCCATCTCATAATTATCTCATTCCCCCACCCACTTCCCCTCCAGCAACCCTCAGTTGGTTTCCTGGAGTTAAGGGTCTCATGGTTTGTTTCCTTTCAGTTTGAATTGGCTTTTATAGAGGAATTGCCATTCTAATATATTCTGCAAAATGAGCTTCACTAATGGACATAAGCTTAATCCTATACTGTTTATCTGTAATGATTAACTAATTCACTAAGAGATGTTGAGTGCCTCTGTGTGTCAGGGTTTAGAACAGTAGCAAGAGTGTGTAGCTGTGGATAAAAGTTCCTGCCTTACATGTAGCTTACCTGCTGGTGGAGATATACAAAAGTAATCTTCCCCTTACCTTACTTAGATAAAAATTTTCCTTCTTTATGTTTCTGCTTCTGATTCTATAAAAAGGTGAAATAATTTACTCTGCTAACTCAGAGTAATCTTGAAAGTTTGATGAAGTGAGCTGTTAACTTTTTTTTTATTTTTACAGATGGTTCCAATCCCTACACGTTGAAGCTTTGCTTTTCTACATCATCCCATTTATAAGAAGAGAAGAGCATGTTAGAATTTATGTTCACCTTTATTACAATTTTAAAGCTACACTTCATTAAGAAAAATCTAAGATGGTTGATCTAATGTTGCCTTGCTTACTTTGATTTAAGATCCTGTTCTGTAATAAACAGATATTTTGCCTTGAGTAAATTTGTTGTAAAGTTAAATATTGAATTGTTTTCATTTTAAAATAGAATGTCATAATGTAGACTATCTACAGCTTCCTTGTAGATTACACAAATATATGATTTCTAATCTTATTATTTTTCTTCCACAGTGAAAATATATTTGCATTCTTAATGCTAATTATCTGCAAGTATTTTTCCATTGTGTATGAGATTAATGCAGGTGAAAGTATTGCATTTTAATATTATAGAGTTCCTATTATATGTTTAGATGTTTAAGTATGTTGCAGTTATTCATATTAAACATAACTTGTATTTATTAAGTATTTTAATCAAGTTTGAGAATAACATTGCACATAACGAATTTTAAGTACTAAAGATTTAGCTGATTTTATATTTCTGAAAGGCTAACAGACATGGATACACTTGTACAGTATGCACTCAAACTTATTTAAATTGGTGTATTTTTTTTTTTAAGTCATTGTCCATTTGTATTGACATGCCTCTGTTTCTAGTTCCAGTTTGGAGATTTTATAAAGTTACAACAATGAGTTAATGTGTTCATTTTCATTTGTTGCATGTGACTTGATCTTGAAAACACAGAAAACACACTTGGTATTTGACATTGAGATTTTAATAGAAGTTATTAACAATTCTTAACCTGAGATCCATGGAGGGGCTTTAGGGAGTCTGTGAACCCCTTAAAATTGTATGTAGAATTTTGGGTACTTGCATTTTTATTTTTTACTCTTGAATCCATCAGTAATATATGTATTTTTCTATATGGTGCAAGGTGTAAGGATCTAATTTTATTTTTATTCCAAACAGATAGCTGTTTGTTTCAACACCATTTATTAAACATTCTCTTTCCCACTGGATCTGTTTTTTTCCTTTTTTTTTGGAAAGTACTACATCTCAAGGAAGGTGTAAACATGGTATTAAGAGACTGTAGCACACTTAGCAAATTCAGAGCTTTTTTATAATAAAAATGTCATATAGCCATTTTATATTTAATAAAACAGAATATTTCATCTACCTAAAATAACTGAAGTTTATAGTTGGCAATAGCAGTTTTGTGATCTTGAGAGTTTTAAACAAATTTGCAAGTAGAAGTTCCATTTAGATCTTTTGTAAAAGTTTTATTGTGAATTTTAACTTAAAAAAGACATTTTGCCTTAATCCTTTTAGAAATGAGGCAGGGATGCCTGGGTGGCTCAGTGGTTGAGCGTCTGCCTTGGACTCAGGTCATGATCCCAGGGTCCTGGAATCGAGTTCCGCATGAGGGACCCCACAAGGAGCCTGCTTCTCCCTCTACCTATGAATCTGCCTCTCTCTCTCTGTCTTTTATGAATAAATAAATAAAATCTCTTAAAAAATAAATGAAATGAGGCAGGATTTTAAAAAGTTTTAGAATTATTGAACAGTAAGATGGATACCAAACACATTAACATTTATTTCCCTTTGAATTTTAACAGCTGTCAACCAATGTCCCTTTAGCCCTCTAAAGACCTAGAAAAATTTAAGTTCAGTCTTGAGGCGTTTTAGACTGTTATGGAACCCAGTCAGTTTTGCCAAGGGTAACTTTGTATATGAACTGTAAGTGTGTGGTACTCGGTGTATATTCCTCATTCATTCATTGCCAATTTAATACCTAAGTTTACGTAACTCTACAATAAACAAAGCTTTATCCCCCCTCTCCTATAAATACTTTTCTACATTTATTGCAAAATTAAAATGCTCTCATTTTAAAAGGTAACTTCTGAGTTTGTAGAATTGTTTCCTTCCCTTCCCCTCTTCTGAAAACTAATCGTGATGTCAGTGTTATAGATTATTTTATGTTGTACCTAAGGTTTTAGGAAAGAAACCCTTGGATGGTGACAGGGCTTATTTAATTTAGATTTGGTTTAAATGGTATTACTATTTTTTATTTATTTTTTTAAAGATTTACTTATTTTAGAAGAGTGCAGGGAGGGAGGGGTAGAGGGAGATGGAGAGAGTCATAGGAAGACTCTGCACTGAGAGCTGATTTAGGGCTCGATCCCACGACCCTGAGATCAGACCTAAGCTGAAACCAAGTTAGTCACTCAACCAACTGCACCACCCAGGCACCTCTAAGTGGTATTGACTTTTAGGTATGAACTCTACTTAATGCTCTTTCCCCAACAAAATGATCAGTAAATTCTTCAGGTGTAAAGTATGTTTAAGTTGTATCTTGTTTATTCATAGATCACTGATACGTCAGCCCTATTCTGTTGCTATCAGTAATATCTTTGACAGTTTACTTGCTTGGGCAGCACTGCTGTTGAATATCTGATATTATCTGATCCTAGAATGGAATTGGCTCTGACAACACTCTCTCTTTCCTTAGCCTTAACAACAACATTCTTTATGCTATCTTTCCACTTTTAGGAGAACATGAAAGAGCAGATTCTATAGCTGTAAAGAAATATTAGCTGTGAGTTTATTTTTTTAAATAATGGAATCCTGTTCCGTATCTAAATTCCAGTAAATGTTTGATAATAAATCTGTATGACTGAGTTAAGGAATATAAGCTGCCTATTAAAACCTTTCCTACTGAGGGTACTACCCCAAATTGTAAAAAATTGCAATTGCAGCTGACATGAGACTTACCAGCATCCTAGTGATTTGGTTATCCAGACTATACTTTCTGGGACTGAAATGAGAGAACAGAATAAAAATGACCAAATAGGGTCAGCTATGTTTCATTTTTAAAAAATCACTATCTGTAGGGTTAGGTTGCTAGGTAATTGCTTTTTAGTAGTTATTAGTGATACTGTATTCCCTCTCTAGCGCAAAGCAATTTTGACTAGAGCATTCTTCCATAATTAAGAATCAAGCACAAGGAGCTTTGCTTCCAAAAGTTTTTCAGGTGACAAGGGTCCTTGTAAGAAAGATAACTGCAGTAAGCCTTCCTGCCTCCATATGGTCCTTTGGCTCAAGAGACTTAGTCCATTTAAGGGACCACGTAAAGAGCAAAAATTTGGGGGGCACCTAGGTGGCTCAGTCCATTCAGTGTCTGCCTTCTACTCAGGTTATGATCCTAGGGTTCCAGGATTGAGCCCCAAGTCCCACTCCCTGCTCAGTAGGGAGTCTGCTTCTTCTCCTCCCTCTGCCTCTTTCGCCCCTACTCATGCTTGCTTGCTCTCTCAGATAAATAAAATCTTTATTAAGAAGAGTAGCAAAGCTTTTTATTCATAATTCCACTTCTTTGCTCACAGAATTAAGTCATAAGCGGATTTAGAGGAAACAAAATTAAGATTCATAGTTTCTGTCCCTCAGCATGTTTTATTCCTTCTAAATTATTTCTACTATGATGGCTTCCAATGTCAACCGAAATATAAGTGAATGCAAACATGATTCTTGTTTAAAGCCGAGAAAGTTATTGGGAGTTTGAAATCTAGTGGATATTTAATTTGTAATATTGTTGCTTATTCCTAAAACCTACCATTTCTACCAAATGGATTCAAGTGCTAATTAAAAACTGATATATTTTATTTAGTTCATTCAGCTTATCACCTTTCTGGCCATCTCAATTTTAACATGCTTTGAACTTGAACAAATACAAAAGACTTTGATTTATTAGTAGACATTTCTTGAATATAAAGCCTTTTATCTGAGGAAGCACTTGAAATTCTCTTGGTGTTTTGTTTTTAAGTTTTTATTTTAATCACCCAGTGCTCATCATCACAAGTGCACGTCTTAATCCCCATCACCTATTTAACCCAACCTCCATCCACCTCCCCTCTGGTAAACCATCAGTTGTTTTTGTTTTTTTTTTTGCCCCCTTTGCTTATTTTGTTTCTTAAATTCTACATATGAGTGATATCATGTGATATTTGTTGTCTTTCTCTGACTTTTTTACTGAGCATTATACCCTAGCTCCATCCATGTCATTGCAAATGTCCAGCTTTCATTCTTTTTTATGGCTGAACAATATTCCATTATATGTAGGTGTACACACTTTTTATTGGAGTTCGATTTGCCAACATATAGCATAACACCCAGTGCTCATCCCATCAAGTGCCTCCGCCAGTGCCCGTCACCCAATCACACCCCATCCCCTTGCCCACCTTCCCTCCCACTACCCCTTGTTCCTTTCCCAGAGTTAGGAGTCTCTCATGGTTTGCCACCTTCTCTGATATTTCCCAATCATTTTCTCTCCTTTCCCCGAATAGTCCCTTTCACTATTTCTTATATTCTCCGAATGAATGAAACCATATGATGTTTGTCCTTCTCCAATTGACTTCCTTCACTCAGCATAATACCCTCCAGTTCCATCCACGTTGAAGCAAATGGTATTCGTCGTTTCTAATGGCTGAGTAATATTCCAGTGTAAACCACATCTTCTCTATCCATTTATCTTTCGATGGATGCCGAGGCTCCTTCCACAGTTTGGCTATCATGGACATCGGTGCTATAAACATTGGGGTGCAGGTGTCCTGCCATTTCACAGCATCTGTATTCTTGGGCTAAATCCCCAGCAGTGCAATTGCTGGGTCGTAGGGCAGGTCTTTTTTTTTTTTTTTTAAATTTTTATTTATTTATGATAGTCACACACAGAGAGAGAGAGATAGGCAGAGACATGGGTAGAGGGAGAAGCAGGCTCCATGCACCGGGAGCCCGATATGGGATTCGATCCCAGGTCTCCAGGATCGCGCCCTGGGCCAAAGGCAGGCACCAAACCGCTGCGCCACCCAGGGATCCCTCGTAGGGCAGGTCTATTTTTAACTCTTTGAGGAACCTCCACACAGTTTTCCAGAGTGGCTTTACCAGTTCACATTCCCACCAACAGTGCAAGAGGATTCCCCTTTCTCCACATCCTCTCCAACATTTGTTGTTTCCTGTCTTGTTAATTTTCACCATTCTCACTGGTGTGAACACACACACACCTTTATCCATCAGTGGATGGACTTTTGGGCTGTTTCCATAATTTGGCTGTTGTAAGTAACACAGCTATAAACATCAGGTTATTGTATCATTTTGAATTAATGTTTTTGTATTCTTTGGGTACATACCCAATAGTGGGTTGCTGGGTTGTAGGGGAGCTCTATTTTTAACTTGAGGAACCTCCATGCTTTTGTCCCTAGTGGCTGCCCCAGTTTGCATTCCTGCCAGTGCTAGAAGTTTTCTTTTCCTCCACTTTCTCGCCAATGCCTGTTGTTTCTTCTTTATTTTAATCATTCTGACAATTGTGAGGTCGTTTTGATTTGCATTTCCGTGATGATGAGCATCTTTTCATGTGTCTGTTGGCCATCTGTATGTCTTCTTTGAAGAAATGTCTGCTCATGTCTTATGCTCATTTTTAAATTGTATTTTTTGGGTTTTGGGTGAAATTCTCTTAGTTTTAATTTATGAACGAGGAAGTGGATATTGCTGCCTCTCACCTTTCTTCATTTTGTAAAGTAATTGAGGTTTGAGTGAGCCTTACTGACTTCATCGGATTCCTACAGCCCGGTACCCCTTAATGCCCCCTTAGAGAACATTTCAACAGCATGTAGGGGTGCTTCTTCATGATTTGGGGGATACTACT